TTTGCAGCTCCTCACGCCGTCATGATGGGTACAACGAAGCCTCGGAACGATGATCAGGTCAGAGAACCGTCACGACACCAATGCGATCTTCTTCTCTGCCTCTGCGCGATATTTTTTGCCTTGCATTTCCGAGGATCCAGGAGCCAACTGCGGTGCGCGTAACAAAATCACTTCGCGATGTTTGCCTGCCAGGGGTTATTCATTTTGCATGACGGGCCGGCAACCCAGCGACGGCTTCATCCGGATGGCCACGGGACATGGACCGGGGAGCCTCCTGTGGCGCTTTTGTTAGCATGAGGACACGACGACACTGGCTTCACTCCCGCATGCCTGTCTCTAGGTCTAGACTGTTGGGCCGTGGCTAGGTACCCAGTACCCAATGCTACGCCGGCCTTGGCCCTCTGGAGTGGCGGACCAGGGAAGTGGAAATGCAAGGGCTACGGGGCAAAGGGGAGAGACGGACGTCGCGGGGAGGAGGGGACACGCACGGGCAGTTCACGAGGGGCGGGGGGTGTGGCACAGGATTCGGTTAGTGGGAAACCGGTCTCTGGCGGCTCTCTTTCTTCGCACCGGACGGCGTCGGGAGAATTGACAGGGGGTTTGGGGCTCTGCGCCGGCCATGTTCGCCGCCGCACATGGCCGCCGCTATTTTGGGCTGTGAACGTTGTGTAATATATAGGTAGCGTGGTGGTGTTTTTTTTTTTTTTTTTTGAACCAAGGGAGGCAGGCCCGTATACTCCCAGTCTCAGGAAGGGACAAGGGAACGTGGTGGTTGTTGAAATATGAACGATAGATACCATTTGCGTTGATCTCGGGAAGCGAGCTTCGTCTTTTGGAAAGGGTGGTCCACGTCCTTTTGACAGTCGCTTCTTCCTTGATTATGTATGGCGCACTACATTGTACATACACTTTTCACCATGATGGCATCTCGCACCCCCACGCCGTGCACCACGGATTACGCATTACGCACCACAAGAACCGAAATGCCGTAGATCATGGAGCAGAGAAGAAGAAGAAAAGTTGATGAATGCCTTGTAGAGTATTGAAGCGGATAAGTGAGAAGAAAAAAAGAGGCCGAGTACAAAAACAGGGAAAGTATTACAAATAGTCACGACAGGCTTTCCCCGCCGGCTTCCCATGAGGCCCCCCCCCTTGTGGAAAAGATCAGGGAAAGTAGATAAGAAGAATAAGCAAAACGATGATGCGCCATGCAATCAAAACCAGCCGTCATCAAGGCGTGAAGAGGATGATTGGCGGGATAGCCATCAGCCCGCGGGGAATAAAGAGGAAAAGGTCAAGAAACGTAAGCTGAAAGAAGAAGAAAAAAATGCCCTCCCGGAAGCAAACCCATACAAACGCCGAGGAAACAAAAGCTTGAATTTGCGGTTCCCGAGAACCATGACTTGGAGCGGAATCATGAAAACGAAAAGCAGAAACCCCGGGGCACCAACAGATCAAGATCAAGAAACTTCATTGCTACAAGAGCAACGAATATGCCAATTTTTTTTTGTTGTTTGCCGTGACTCGTTCTCCCTGCATCAACAACAACAGGGGTAAGGTATGATGACGAGAAGTGGTATATAAAATGAAGGGGGAGATAAACCAAGAATCAAGGCGTGAGAGATTCAAGTTCAACAGACGCGAGCTAACAGAATCACGCAGTCCGGTTCGACTGGCGGGGAATGGCGGCCTCGTCAAGGTCGGGCTTGATGTCGTCGGGGTTCTTTGGGTCGAACCAGGCGGTGGCGCGGTAGTCGCCGCGGAGGGCGCCTATGGTGACCCAGACGTGCTTCTGCATGCCGGGCGGGGCTCCGGGCGAGGGCTGGGCCCTCTCCGTCATGCGGTGGCCCCTCCAGCGCAGGCGGCCCTCGGGCGAGCGGTCCCCTGTGCCGACGCCACCGCCGCCGATCCACTCGCGCACGACGGTGCGCATGAACTCGATCTTGCGGCGGAAGTCGTTGGCCGCGGGGATGTTGCGCAGCTCGGGCGCGATCTCGGGACGCCGCCACGACGGGTTACCGGCCCGCACCGTCTTGGCCGACGACACGTTGAAGTTGAGCAGCGTCTGCAGCGGGTACGAGAGCACCGTCCGCTGGTCGAGCGACGTCTCGTCCAGCGTGCCCTCGTTGGCTAGCCGGTGCGCCGCCTCCTCAGTGAGGTGCCAGAGGTGGCACCACGTGCCCGTCGCGTCCACTACGATCTTGGTGTGGTCGGGGAAGTTGAACTGCATGTGCCCGTCGCCAAAGAGCCAGCAGCCCACATCGCCGAACCGCTGGTAGAACATGACGACATCCTTGCCGTCATCGGCCGGGTCCGCCGTCCGGGTCGGCATCAGCTCCGGATCGAAGTCGCGGCTGTAGGTGAGCATGTAGTTGGCGAACTTCTTCCACAGCACAATCCTTTCACGTCTGCGGTGTTCCCAGATGTTCTTGCCGTACGTCATCTTGGCCGCCTCGCCGTCGCCCGTGAGCTCGACCCGGAAGCTTTCAGGGCTGACGTTCAGGGTAGAGAAGCCCTGCTCCCCGTTGTGCTCGTAAAAGGGTATGCTCCTCGTCATGGGCACGGCCTGGAGTCTGTCGGGGTAGGCAGGGTCCCTACGGCGGATAAAGTGGTTCTCGCCTTCGTGGACAAGAAAGCAGGTGGGAGGGATTATTTCCGTCCTCTCGCCATTGTCGACGGGCATTTGTCGGAGGATGCATCCTATGCCACCGTCACTGAGGACGTATCCCAGACCAAATTTATTGGTATAGTCGACCCATTTGACCACAATCTGTGGCGTGACCGGCGCTTTCTCCTTGGTCGAGACAAATGCCGTCGTTCGCGAGTTCAGCGCCCTCTCGAGCTCGGCCTGGAGCTTGTGGAGCCGCTCCAGAACAACGTCGGGCTTCATGCTCGGGACCGACTCGACGGGCTCTGAGGGGCTGAAGATGCTCGTCATGGTGGGTGGTGGTGGTGGTGGTGCAGGTAGTGCTCCGCCTGATATCGTCGCCACGCCGTCTCGCCGGGCTACAGCCGTCTGCGGACGCGTCGGGTTACTAGCCGCCCTGCGCAGCGCAGGCTCCGTCCGGCTGGTCGGAAGCTGTGTCCTTGCCGTACGTGCCCTCACGGTCCCCGCATGCTCGCGAGCCTCCACCGACCTGGCGCTTTGAGATCGGGACAGAGTCATTTGCCCGAGCCTGTCCGTCAGGCTCGCCGTCGCAGCAGCAGCTTCCTCTGCTTCCCTCTTCGCCCTGCTGCGGGCAGCAGCCGAATGCCTTGCGGGGGCCTCCTGAGCCTCCTGCACGGTCACGGTAGCGGTGGCCGAGGTGACCGTCTTTGCCGGCCTATTCTGAGCCCTCTGCTGTGCCGCAAAGCTTTGGGGAGGGGCTGTGCGAGCAGCCGTCGCGCCCGTTATTGGGTTGCGTGCCAGGGGGCTGACCTCGTCCAGAGGTGCCGTGACGGACGAGGCAGAGGTCAGCGGCAAGAACCGCTGCTTAGCTCGTGCGTCCTTGGCTGCCTCCTCGAATGGCCTGTAGACAATACCTTCAGCCAGGGGGATGATGGGTGTCAGCCCGGCCTGTTCCTCACCCGCCATTTCCTTCCAGATAGGGCGGTGGACACGTCGGGTTTCGCACAAAGGCCCGACTTCGCAGGCGTTGCACATTTCCTTGAAGTTGCGCAGGTTTTCAACCTCCTCCATCTCGCTCCTGGGAAAGTTGTAGAAGCGCTCCTGCTCAGGGGGGTATTCCCGAAGCCTTGGGCTCATGTCTTCTGGAAGCGGCATGTAGCCACAGCGGAAGAAGGGGTGCTGGATGATCTGGTCCGGGTCCGGCCTCCTGTCGGCTTCCTGCAGCATGTCAGCCACAAGGTTCTTAGCCTCCTGACTAATGATCTTGCTCGAGGTCTCCCTGCTCGGCCACTCGTAGTCCCGGTCGCGGGCGCGGCGGTAGATCTCGTCCGTGGTGGTGGACTGGAAGGGTGGCTTGGACGTGAGCATGGCAAAGACGATGACGCCAAGACTCCAGATGTCCACGTTGTGGTCGTGCCCCTTGCGACCCTTCTCCAGAATCTCGGGGGCGATGTAGTTGGGGGTTCCACACAGCGTGGTGCGGCGGATGGTCTGCATGTCCTTGCCGGTAACCAGGAGGGCGGCTAGACCAAAGTCGCCGATCTTGGCGTTCATCTGCTTGTCGAGGAAGATGTTGCCCATCTTGAGGTCGCGGTGGATGATGCCCTTGGAATGCATATACTTGATGGCGCCGGCGATCTGAACCGAGTAGAAGCGCACCTCGGCCTCGGTCACGCCCTTGCGGCGCTTAACCATGTCCATCAGCGAGCCGTTGGGGCACAGCTCAAGGACGAGGTAGGTACTGCTCTCGAAGGAGAAGGCGCGGTGGAACTGCACAATGTTCTGGTGCCTCATCTTAGAGTGGATCTGCAGTTCCGTCTGGAACTTCTGCTCCATCTTACGCGGCATCTCACTCTTGACGATCTTGAGGGCGTAGCGTTTGCGCGTGCCGGCGGGCTGGCCCTCGTAGCAAACAGCGAAGCCGCCCTTTCCGAGCAGCTTGCCGACCTGGTAGACCATGCCATCTCTGCACTCGGCGCTCGGGGGCTCGGCGACGTGCGGCGGAGGTGGTGGCGGGTGCTCCTTCTCCTTGTTGGCCTTGAGCTGGGCCGTGGCCTTGTTCTTGACATCGTTCGCCCTCTGCGGGCGCTGGGCATTAGCGTCCCGCGGGGACAGCGCCTCCATGTCGACGCCCTTTGCCACCATCATTCTCGGCGGACCATAAACACTGCCGGCTCGATAGCAATCGCGGTGGTGGTGGTGGTGGGCGGGCGAGAGAGATCCGACAGGGATCTGGCGGTGCAAAAGTCTGTATGCCTGGGTAGCTATGTCGGGTCCTAGGCAAAGCGGTGAGGGAAAGCGTCGATGTGTTCAAGCAGGCTGTTGTCCGTGTTCTGCATGTTATAGGAATATTAAAAGATTAGCAATGATGGGGGAGCGACATTTCCATATCTCAGCACCAGCAAGCCAGGCTTGAGAATGGGTAAGGGTCTAGGCAAACTAGAGGAGGACGAATTCTTACCCAGGGCAGTACCAGCAAGCGAACAGTGAAAAGGGAAAAATTATATGCTCGCTCGCTATGCGGCAGACGCGACCCAAGCTGACAGATGGGCGAAAGCGATAAAAGAAAGAATTAAAGACAGCTGTGCTGCATGTCTCTCGCGTTGCTCTCTCTCTCTCTCTCTCTATGCGAAGGCAGCGTCTTTTCTGGTGAATTGGGAGGTTGGGCCAAGCGCCTGTCGCGTGTTTTTGGCAAGGGTGTCCGTGTTTGGAGCCACTTGGCTGGTGTTGGCGTAGCAACCTGCCTGCCATGCAGCCGAGCTGTGCTGCTGCTTCCACTTGACCGCTGAAATGAAAATCTGCGCTTCGACAGCCTCATTGGAAACCCTACATCGTGTTGTTATTTGTCCTGCAGGCCTGTGCTTCTGCTTCTTGGATCTACTCTTTTCACATTCTCTGTGTCTTTTGGCCACTTCATGTATTTGTATTCATTCATCGCGGACTCTCTGCTTGCTTCGAGACAAGGTGAACCCCCCGAGTCGCAACAGCTCGTGGCCCACTCGTGCTCGCCCACTGCCCCACCTTTCCAATTTCTGGTGCTGAAAGCTCGAAGCTATGGATGAAGGTGGTAGCCTAGCTTGCTGCTGTGCATCGTCTACCAACAAACCAGAAAGCCTCCGGGCCGGTTTGCTGTAATTGGAAGAGGCCTGAGCATTGGCATATGCCGTCAACGTAGCTATTAGGTACCTGGTAGGTACGTGGGTTATAAAAACCACCCAAGATGCGTTGAGGTCGAACGGGCATCGGCCCGGCGCCAGGGTTGAATCTAGATCCGTGTCGGACTCGGAACCCGGCTCCTAGCGCATTGCGTGTGTGGTGGATCAGCAGCCGCCTAGTCCGATTAGCCCGATGTAGGACTGGACTGTATGGGGAGTCATGAAATCCCGCCCAAGCAAAGCACGGCCAGTGAGATTCTCAAAAACATGCCGACGACTACACCCGAGACTGAGCTGCCCAGAGAATCGACACAGCGGCAACTAGATAATATCAAGTTGTCCGTCCCTTGACAGTCAATTGACCAAAATTCCTTGTGTGTGCGCCAATACGGCGGCTCGGTGGGTGCCAAGATTTGCGGGCAAGAAAGCAACGGTCCTTGCGCCGCCGAAAAGCCACCACAAGCCCTTGGCACCTCGTCCACGCCGGGCTCCTCGGTTCGTCGCCCGCGAACCATGGTCGCCCTTCCGTTGTTCAAGCTCGGCGCGCTCTTTCTCAAGCACGTCTCCAAATATGGCGCCGTTAGTTCCGACCCCCGACCATACTTCTTCGCCTCCTCCTGCTGACCGCAGCCCCCGCCTTGCCGCAGAACCGGATAAAGATCCAGGCCCATGACCACCCAAGGTTCCGAAAGTTCGCGGCGCGCTATGGCCAAGTGATACACCAGATAAACATGCGGCTCTCGGTCGCGAGCCTGAGGAACGTCGAGGCCGAGATGAAGGCCAAGGAGCTGGCCGAGACCCCCACCGTCAAGACCAAGGAGCAGACGGAGAAGGAGGAGAGGGCCAGGGCAGCCGGACCCGCCAGCCGGTTCCGGAGCGTTTGGAAGCGCCGGTTTAGGCCGCTGCCCGAGGCCAAGGCCGTCGACCTGTTCGCCGACGTGCTCGGCGACACCTTCATCCTGCTCATCGCCAGCGCCCTCCTCATCTACGAGTACCAGCGCGCCGCCCAGAAGCCCGACACCAACCTCGAGAGGATACAGGAGCTCGACGGGCAGCTCGAGGAGCTGCGCAGGCGCGAGGAGGAGCGAGAGCGCAACGAGAGCGCCCAGGCCAGCAGGATCCTCGCTCTAGAGGAGGCGCTGCGGAACTACAAGGACCCCAAGACGAAGCTTCCTCTACTCCCGTCACCGTTGCCACCAGCACCAGCGGCTGAATCGGTGCCATGATCTCGACTAGCTGCCGCAGGTGACCTATTTCCTCGGCTCATTATCTCGATCTAAGGGGCTAGCGTAGAATTTTGTCCCAAGCTGGAATCTCCTCTTGCATATATAAAACCATACGATATCCCGCTCCTTCTTAGCCCGCTCCAACAACATGCAGTATATATCCATGCCACATGAAGTTCCTGGTCGGTGTAAAGACAGCCAGGGAAACTATTTCCGCTGTGTATATGGTAGGTATCTTGTTAAATCTTGTGCCAGGATAAAATCTACCCCGCGAACCATTGTGACGCCGTCAGCCCCGACCCATTGAGCAACACCCGATCCCAGGTAGCAGGACGCTGCTTGGGTGGTAGCCATCACAGGGCTGCTCCTGCCACATTTGCAAACACTGTATATAAGAACATCTGCGGATCCATTTCTGGCATGATCCAACATTCGAACGCACCCTTGGCTTAGCCCCTGCTGAGCCGGCTAACCAGCAACCAGCTCGCAGCGCAACCACTCGCCATGTCAGCCCTCTTCTCCTGCTCAATCCGCAAGCGCAAAGAGTGGGCAGCTGCCATACCCCTGCTCTATCAGTCGCGAAGCATCCAATGGAGAGGTATGGCGCAGCAAGACGCCGTAGCTCTACTTCCCATTTTTCCTACCCAGCTGGTTCGAGCTTACCAGCCCACAACTGCTAACCATGGACCCGGGGCATATGAGGTTCGTGCAGAGACCACACTCATCGCACACGACATTGCCATCCCCTATCCCGGGACGCTGGGAGAAGGAGATGACGTGTTCCGCTTTATGCTGGTGTCGCCTGACGATGCTGGCGATGCGGACACCGACGCCAGGCTGGACCGCCTTTACAACCTTGGCGCCCATGTCGGCGTCGTTTTCCTCAGCCAGGACGAGGGCTGCAACGGCTTCACTGAGTTCCAGATAAGGTCTCGTGCTGGATACGGCGCCCCTATGCCGCGAATTTGCGCCTAACCCTGGAGTGGATATGTAGGAATACGCATACCAGGCCCGAAATGACAGTCATCCCAGTCAGCATACCCGAGAGACTACCAGAGACGATGGCGGCATTCAGCGAAGGCCTGTCCCAGCCTCCTCCACGAGTTCCCAGACTCTGGGTGGTGAAGACGCTCCTGCCATTTTGCTCCACCAACCTGCCTCTTGGCGAGCATACCGTCAACGTCCTAAGCGTAGGTTCTTTCCAGTTACTGGCTGGGCGCTTTCCTGTTGAGCCACCGCTAAGTATCGAAATCGAAACCGAACGTCTCACAGGACATCTGCCCTTCGTTCAGGGACTTAGTCGACATCATGTCTTGCGAGGAAGGGCATGATAGCATCCGCAGCTACATTGACGAGCCGGACGCTGGGGCTTTGATCCAATTCTTCTCTGGGGAGTTTGTCTCGTGAAAACCGAGCTTTCTGGCGTTTGAAAGAGATGCTAGCATTAATCCCTCCTGCCTGCCAGACGCGGTTGCTTGGACGCCCAACGTCGTCACTGACGGCCGTTTCCAACGCAATTCAGCCACAAATTAGACATTTAGGCACAGACATTGATTAATCCAGGCCCGAATAGGAGCGGATTTCCCCGCGGGTAGTCGTGATGGGCGTAGTGGCTGGCCCTTCTTGGTAGCCTGAATGCCTCCTGGCAGCTTCCCAGCTCACAGCCATGGATGGCAGTGACGTCAGCGCATGGCGGACGCAGGAACCACCTGAGGAGCTGTCAGTGCTTTGTGGGGCTGCCTGCCCCCTGAGCCGGTGTCTGGCAGCTGGAGCTCCGAATTCCTGCAGCTGCGCCCCGCCATTCACTGCTGTGTCCGCCTTCCGTGCTTCCCCACCACGCACCAGCATGGAGCCTATGACGTAACTCCACGGCCCGCCGCGCCCCTGGAGGGAGAACGATGACGATCGTCCGACCTTGGCCAGGCTGAAAGGCTGTTTGCATTGGCCCATCTCGAACGGGCAGTGACTAACAATGGCGCCGGTCTCCAAGGCAGGTCGTACGTAAACCCTTTCTTCCTTTTGCTTCCACGCGACGGCTTCGTTTAAAACCAGCTTCTCTCCCCGCCATTCACGCTCCCGTAGTCAGTTCTTCCACAAACAAACACACCAACGATCCTCCTGCTCATCACCAAGAATCACGATCACGAGACACCCACCATCATCTACAACAAACAAGCGACTTTAGAGTTTCACAGTATCCAGCACTACCAGACCTCATTTGCACACCTACCTGAGATACCCCGCCATCTACCTCCCCGCGCCTAATTAATCACGACGAACAGCCCGTCGTCGCCTCTTCTGCAAACACACACCAACCCACACGACCACTCAATCACAGTCACAATGGCCAAGGGCGAGGCTTCCACTGCCAAGGTCCACTTCAAGGGCAACGAGGACGACTTCGTCGTGTTCCTTGACGACGTCGAGGACTTCAAGAAGTGGCAGACGGACAAGTCAGTCCCAATGGCCAACTTCATGTCCGGCTTCAAGGTGTTTGTGACGCACAGGTAAGCGCCAGCAATCGAGCCACTCCTTTCTGATTCCTGTGCAGCGCGGCTGGCGGCTATGTCGGTCGGCCATTGGCTTTGGTGGCGGCTGGTTTGGCCTGTGCCGTAGCCCGGAGCGCTTGACGATAACACACGGCCACGGCTCCACTCCCCTGCCGTAATGCCATAGACGCGGCCACGTCTTTACACCCTCACTTCGATCTGCCATATGCTCACATGTGTTCTCTATCAGGCACGGTGCACAGGGAACATTGGACGGCGCCTCAAACGCGACCATGGACAACGAATTCGGCACGCACGTCGACGAGGAGGTCATCAAGCAGATTCTCGAGAAGGGCACGTTGCAGGAGACCGAGTTTGCCGAGCGTCAAGGTCGTAAGAATGACGCCAACGGCTCCTACATGGCTTAGAGGGTTAGGCGCATCTCCAACAGGAATCAGTGAAAGGTTAGAGAGGGCAGGCGTTTTGGCATCCGGGCCCGTCGGTGCTTCCTCGTGGCCAGGAGACGTGTGCGGTTCTGATTGACAAAACACATTGGTGGCGCTTGGACTGCCCGGCTGGTTTGATGATTATCGGGGAAAGGGGAGTGGTGAGAGGATGCAAATGATGGGACAAGGAAGAGCCCATCTAGCTCTCAGGTAGCCACACGACATGATCGAACAAGCGATGATTGACTATTCTCGTGCGTCTTGTCGCATATTTTCATGCATGCGTGTGATGGTCGCCTGAATGAAGGACAACCGGCAGGTGCTGTTGCGCAAGTGAGATGTTTCATGGCTTTGTTGTTTGATGAAGCAAAACACTAGAAAGGTGCAGACAAGAGCGGAGGAGCCCAGCCAGCCAGCACCAGGGTGGCCAAACCCACGACGTTCGCCTGCAACGGTTTAAGGTTCTTCTTTTCTCGCCCAAGCCGAAGGCCAGACAGCTGGGGGAGGGATGGGGGGATGGATCCAAGCCATCCCCTGTTTGTCGGGGCTTGGCAGCTTACATGGTCTAGGCCCAATCAGGCGAGGCCAGCAACGCGCTGGGCCACGGCCGTTTCGAGACGGTTTCGTCGCCACATGTTGGCCAATTGCCGGCAACCCTCACGCCATCCCAGCGGCCAGGAGAGAACAAAAGAAGGGAAAAAAGTCGCCGGTCTCTAGCAGAGGAGATCCAAAGCAGAACAGGTGACAGAAAATGGATGGCCTCGATCTCATCTTGTTGGGTGTGTCCCCTCCCCCTCTGCCTAGAGGTTATTTTATAGGGGGGGAACACGGGAGTCAGCTGGTCTTGAGTGCTGGTGCAAGATATCGGCGGCTCTGTTTTTCTTCTCGTCCGTTGTTCTGGACAGCAAGGCTTGGCATTGGCAGGTAGGGTTGGAAAGTCTCGTCTCTCTCTCTCTCTC